AGTTTGGGAAGGAGATCAAACGTATAAGGTGTGACAACGGGGGAGAATTTGTCTCTCATAAAATGCATAGCTTTTATGCACAAGAGGGAATTGTCTTGGAGACTTCTTGTCCATATACACCCCAACAAAATGGGGTGGTTGAACGCAAACATAGACATTTGCTTGAGACGGTACGACCCCTTCGTTTCCAGGGCAATCTTCCCAAGGCTTTTTGGGGAGAATGTATTTTGACCGCTACTTACATGATCAACAGGCTTCCCTCGAAAGTGCTCAATGGGGTCACTCCCTATGAAGTTCTTTTTAATCAATCACCCACTTACGATCACATGAGAGTATTTGGATGTTTGGCCTACTACCGAAGCACAGAAACCGGTGGAGACAAGTTTGAGCCGCGAGGTAGACCAGACATCTTTGTTGGTTACCCACAGGGGACGAAGGGCTACAAAATTTATGACTTGGAGTACAGAAGGTTAGTAGTTTCAAGAGATGTAAGATTTCTAGAACATGAATTTCCAATGAAACGAATACACGAAAGTAAGGAGACAAATGAAGAAGATGAAGACCTCTTTGTCTTCACTGATAAGGAGGTCACCACGACTCCGGTTCAGCATCCTTTCATCATCGACAGCCACATCCGGGATGAAGCTCAAGATCATCACGATACTCTCGAGCTAGATAATACTACCATCGATGAAAACAGCGAACTCGTGGAGAGTGACAATCACGAGAACCAAGAAATCAGCAACACTGACAGCAACAGAGAGACTAGAACTCGATCTCAGCCAGTTCGCTTCAAAGATTATAACATACAACTGCCTCCTTCGATAAGTCATCTGCAACCCGCTTCCAATCGTGTCGCCTCCACGGTACATCCTCTCACTAATTATGTCTCATATGAGAAATTTTCTAATGCTCACAAGTCCTTTTTAGCTGCCATCGCCACCCACGATGAGCCAAAGTTCTTTCATCAGGCTATTAAAAATGACCGATGGAAAGAAGCCATGCAAAAGGAGATCCAAGCTCTTGAACAAAATAACACTTGGGAACTTACATCGTTGCCCTCCGGAAAAAGAGCTATAGATTCCAAGTGGGTCTATAAGATAAAGTACAAGCCAAATGGAGATATAGAACGCTACAAGGCTCGTCTTGTTGCTAAGGGCTACCCCCAAATGGAAGGTGTGGATTTTCATGACACCTTTGCCCTGGTGGCTAAGCTTGTAACCGTGCGTGTTCTACTCTCACTATAGCTGTCAAACGTGACTGGATCATACACCAGTTAGATGTTAACAACGCCTTTTTGCATGGAGATTTGGACGAAGACATTTACATGAAGATACCGCAGGGTTTTAGAAAAGACAACGAAACACGAGTCTGTAAGCTCAAAAAGTCATTGTATGGGTTAAAACAAGCCTCGAGAAATTGGTATAAAAAATTTACTACAACCCTCCAAAGTCTAGAATTTCGACAATCTCAAGCTGATCATTCACTATTCGTTCATAAGCATGGCGACACCTTTGTGGCAGCCCTTATTTATGTGGATGATGTAATAATTGTTGGTAACAACAAGAAAAAGATAAAACATACCAAATCTAGACTTGATGCGAGTTTTAGTATCAAGGATCTCGGAACCTTGAAATATTTTTTGGGCATAGAAGTGGCTCGTACAAACGAAGGTTTGGTTCTTAGCCAACGAAAGTACACCATTGATGTCCTAGAAGATTCGGGTTTTCTTGGATGTCGACCCAGCAGGTTTCCAATGGAACAAAATTTAAAATTAAATAAAGGAGAAGATGAAGATCGGGTCGATGCTAGTGTGTATAGACGTCTCGTTGGGAGACTCTTATATCTTCAAGCAACCAGACCTGGCATTACTTATTCCGTGAATGTTCTTAGCCAATTTGTCTCGGACCCTAGACAAAGTCATTGGAATGCTGCTATGCGAGTACTTCGTTATCTCAAAACTACGTTGGGACAAGGTGTGTTGTTACCAAAGACCGAGGATGTTGAGTTGATTGCATATAGCGATTCGGATTGGTTGGGTTGTCCCTTTTCACGAAGGTCACGGACGGGGTACATATTGCTCTTGGGAGGTGCACCGATTTCATGGAAATCCAAGAAACAATCAGTTATTTCTCGATCCTCAGCTGAAGCCGAGTATCGTGCAATGGCTACTACTGTGAGTGAAGTTCTTTGGACCCGTTGGTTGTTAGCAGAATTTGATGATGATTTCCATGCACCGACACCTCTTTTGTGTGATAATGAGTCCGCCCGCAACATTGCTCACAATCCGGTGTTTCATGAGCGCACCAAGCATGTCGAAATGGATTGCTATTTCGTACGAGAACGTGTTTTGTCAAAAGATATTGTTCCTGTGAAGATAAGCACTCAAGACCAATTGACCGACTTGCTCACTAAGCCACTTGGTTCAGATCGTTTGAAGTGGTTGTCGGACAAGCTGGGCATTCGGAATCTTCATGCTCCCGCTTGAGGGGGAGTAAAGGAATCTAGATTATTCCAGTGAACAGATAATCATAGATGTTTCGTATTTATCTGTTTGTTTATCATTATCGTTTACTGAATTTTAGGATCTCAGGATATATATATATATATATATATATATATGATGATGATGATTATTGTATGCCTCTAGTACATCTAGAGAAGACTTTTTATTGCTCTAATATTGGTGATAGTGGATTTGAAGCGACTCTAGTAGTACCGTGGTTTTTACTCTCCTTTCTTGAGAGGTTTCCACGCTAAAATTCCGATGTCTTTATTGTTTGATTACTTATTGTTTTGGGTTGATTATATTGATCATATAACTTGCATTGGGGCTGATTTGTTGCAAGTGAAATTATCCTATTTGTTTGCATCCTAAAAGGTTCATTCAAGACGGGAATAGTTTAGTCAAACGGAGTATTATTCCGCATGGTTATTTACTGTTGTGGCTGCGTTTTTCCCATCACCACACTCCCACTATTATTACCAACATCACCACCATTTAACAATGACATTTTTTTTACTATACATCTCAATAATAAAACCAAAACATAAATTGATTCATATATAATAGCCTAAAGCCAAATTAAAACTTCATTCAGACCGTTAATGAATCAAATCTTTATTCTTTCTCTAAAGTGTAAGTGAGTTATAAGGAGTTCAACGACGAGGTGGTGGATTTTAATATGTCGAAAAACAGAGGTGGATAAGAGGTACGATGACGATGATGATTCTCCATATTCTTCTGTAAGTTTTTCGATGATTTGTTGCAATGAAAGTGGTGGTTACAGTAGTGGCTTTGAAATTGTCTTTAGATGGGGCAGATGAGGGGGTACGATGGTGGCGACGGTGAGTGTCGTCTTGTTTGTGAGTGTCTTTGAAGTTATAGAAGCGAATGAGTGTAAGGCTTGAGGGAGTGAGTGTGGCATGTATGGCGTGGTTGTGGTGTACACCATCCCTGGTGGTATGACATGAATCGAACGTGACATCCTCAAGCCACGTCTCTCTCTCTCTCTCTCTCTCTCTCTCTCTCTCTCTCTCTCTCTCTTCCCAACCCCTAGTGGTGCTTGGTAAATATGATGACAAAGTGAGGTGGACAATATTTTGGTTGAGGTGGACCGTGGTGAACTCGACACTATTCCTACTAACTTAAAAGAGCCAGAGAAGAATCCCCGCATACTAATATAGGGATTTAATTAGTTTTACCTATAATTTCCATAATTAGTTTCAGAAGTATATAGGTTTTAACCATTTTGGTCTAAGGGTAAAAAAATTGGGCCTCCTACACAATATGTGTCTTTGTTGTCGCACGCGCGACATGCTCAAATAGGGCCTATTAAAATGACATATACTCGAGTTATTTTTTCACTTTTCTTCGGTAAGTCCAGCTTTTTACAAAAAGTAATTCGATATTTGTTATTTCGTTCCTAATTCTTATGGATTTTGGAAATAAGTGATGTTAATGCTTAACCCGAGGAAATAAATTTATAAATGTCACTATATTTTTTTAACCATTCTAATTCATTTTGATACATGAAAGCCAACCCAAGTTTGACAAAGTTTTCTACTTTGATTGTTGATATCGTGTTGCTATGATGTTTTATCTAGAGCAATATACAACTTTTAACATTGTGGTAATTTTTGTTGTTTAGACACTATAATTCAGTTTAAATTTTTGTAGGAGGTTATAGTCATCACAATCGAACACTTGTTAAGGTTGTGTGGTTATTGATTTTATTTAACTAAACTTTAACACTAAATATTTCGGGGGTGTTTGGATAAATTACTTTTTAGTTTATTAGTTTATTGCTTATTAGCTTATTGCGGTGGGAATACGCAATTTTTGCAAAAGTGTTTGTGGTGGGAATAAGCAATAAAAAATAAGCAAGAGAGAGATGCTTATTAAAATCAGCTTATTTAGCTTATTCCTACCACAATAAGCTGATTTTTAAGGATTCCTATCTAAACACTTAAACTTAGTGGGTGTTTGGCTAAGCTTATTTATGACTTATTTTTCGAGATTATTTTTTATAAGCTCATTTTTTCTGACTTATATTTTATGAGTTCGGCTTATTTTCTTAGTATAAGTCATAATAAGCTCAGAAGTTGAAAAATAAGTTAGAAAAAATGAGCTTATAAAAAATAAGCTCGGAAAATAAGCCATAAATAAGCTTAGCCAAACACCCCTAGCTTATTGTGGTGAGAATAAGCAATAAACATCTTTTTTTTTCCCTGTCCAAACATCCCATTCGTATAAAAGCCACAATATTTAAACAACTTTTCTTTTGTTGTGATTATTCTCGCATGATTTAGCATATCACAATGATTGATATTGAAAAAAAATTGTCACAAAGTGATTTTTTTTCAAAAATTACAAACGGTTTTTGTAGCTCTATTATGTCTAAAATAACCATACGTTTATATTTTTGTACCAACTAACAACTTATTACCTAAAATCTAAAAATGAGATCGAGGTCATGAGGTGACATGGACGCATGGTTATAAACTAGACTTCAATATGACGCGAGAGGTGACTATCAACGGACCTTTGCTCCTTTTATTCAGGGTTACGTAAGTATACGGAAAACAAATTGTCGGTATCAATGGTGTCTGCCGGAAACTCCACCTTCCGGGATCGGACATCAGAATTCCGATCTCTGTCGGACACATTGAAAAAGTTTGGGCGAATATCAGCTGCCAATCCAGATCGATCAAATCAGCAAAATGATCCATCGACGTCATCTAAACTACCGGTAACTCCTTCTTCATATCGATCCGAATTCAACAAGAAGGCTTCTCGTATTGGATTAGGCATCCATGAAACCTCCAAAAAAATCTCCAGACTGGCTAATCGTAAGCATTTGTCACTTTACACATCTCTTTTGTTAAACGTAGGGTTTGACATACAATGTTACATTACTTCCCTTGCTTTTCAACTATCCTCGTGTCAATGAAAAGCTCTATGCGTTTTTAGCGAACCAACTGGAAAAGTTACGTTGCAGTACTCACAATTGCTTCTCATTTGAATCTGTAAGGATGTCTGAATGGTTAGATGTTGATATGTTGGTGCAGATCGATATATGTTGCTTGAGGGGCACTAAAACTTTACTCGATTATACTTGCTTATCTCTGGATTTGGTTTCATCAGATTTTACTTGCTTATTTCTGACTGATGGTAATTACGAAATAGAATTCTCTGAAAGGCTGTAAGCTGTGATGTGATCCAGAGGCAATTAGATTATGTCTGTCTGTGCTCTGCAATGGTTGGTAAACACAGTACAACATTAGCTTTGAGATCACAGTTAAATCATATTAAATTTTGAATTCTCTCTTTAGTGTGGGCTATAATGCGACTAAAAAAGCTTCCTGGTTCTTTCTTAGAGTCCCAATTACTTTGATTCTTGTTTCTCTAGCTGTTTGTAGTTGGGATTTAGTCATAACATTAACATGTTTATATGGATGGACTTGCAGTGGCTAAGAAGTCATCAATTTTTGATGATCCGTTGAAGGAGATACAAGAACTAACAGCCTTGATAAAGAACGATATAACAGCCCTAAATGTAGCTGTATCTGATTTGCAAACTCTTCAAAACATGGAAATTGCTGAGGGTGATTATTCAGAAGATACAGTTGTCCATTCTACTGCTGTTTGTGATGATTTGAAGAACAAGCTAATGGGAGCTACAAAAAAGTTTCAAGATGTATTAACAACAAGGACTGAGGTTGTTTCTACTTTCTTGTTTATATTCTTTATTCTCCTCCTTCCCCTTTAATGGTTATAACTTACAATTAATCTCATTCTTGCTCTTACAACAGAACATCAAGGCTCATGAAAACAGGAGACAAATCTTTTCTACAAGTATAGCAAGAGAGAACCCGTTACGCCAGCAACCAAAGTCCGTGATGGAGCCACCTCCTTGGTCAACTCCATCCGGTCAACCATCTGAGTGAGTCAGTAAAATTTTGATTTAGATCTCATCTCTATTGATTGTCAATTTCTCTATGATGATCTTGTCTTATCTTATTATATAAGAGATTTATGAAAGTTTGATGTGTTTGGAAATAGATGTTTAAATAAATCTTGTTTGTTTTTCTCAGATCTTCAGTAAATGGAGTCCAAGTTGGCAACCAACTAAGGTATATTTTCTGGTTTATTATATAAATTTGTTCTTCATAAATCATAACTATGACTCTGTTTCACTTTATTCTTTTCTCATTTCTTATTTTTATGTAGTGAAACTATAGAATAGGTGATCTGATTTTTGTTTTAATTTTGTAAATGCAGGAGAAGGTTAGCTGTTGAGAGTAGTACTCCTTCCCAGAACATGAACACGGGAGCCTCAATGTTACAGCAGCAGGTGGTCCCACAACAAGAAAGCTATACACAAAATCGTGCAGTTGCTCTACAAAGTGTGGAGTCTACAATTACAGAACTGAGTGGGATCTTTACAAATTTGGCTACAATGGTGGCCCACCAGGGGGAGTTAGCTATTAGGTTAGTTCATGTTCATTCTTATGAAAAAAAGGTAGTTTGGGTAATTAATTAATCATCATAAACATTATTCTTACATTATGGTATCAGGATTGATGACAATATGGAGGAAAGTTTGTCAAATGTTGAAGGTGCTAGAGGAGCTCTTTTGAAGCATTTAAACCGGATATCATCAAACAGGTGGCTGATAATCAAGATATTTGTCATTTTAATAATCTTTCTCATCATATTCTTATTCTTCTTGGCTTAATAGTGGGATCTGCAAAAAATTTGTGGCACAATATTTTTGTGAATTATAGTGCAAGTTAATTCTTACAATGTCCATATTTCCATTTATGTTGGGACAAAGATCTCCCCACACTTTATATTTTAGATCTTCACTATATTGGAATTATTTTCCAACTTCTGCGGAAAGTGTGTAACTGATGGAGTGATGGTTGCAATATTCTTGTTATGCTTTCTACGTATTCTTTCCTTTTATCGATGGAAGATTGATTTATTTATTTATTTTAAGTATGGTCCATTTTGTTGATTAACGATTGTATTCACGAAGGAATCCACATAAGTTCTAACACCAATTCAAACATATTTTGACAGAAGAAAACAATTATTCATAACACCGTTTGCCACCTTTTTCATAAGTAAAAATGGGGAATATTACTGTTTGCATGCATCTTTTCCCATGACAACCTCACCCTATCCCACATCCCCTGCCCTCGGCTTTGAGTACCTCCCATCAAAGAGTCGAAGTTTCTATGCACACTGCTTTAGTAACTTGCACACACAAAGCATAATCTCCACCTCTACTTCTACAAAAAGGCAAGCTTCAAGACTACCAATACTAATCCCATTTTTTTCTTTCGAATCAATGACCAAGGCCCAATTGGCCCAATGGATTCTGTGACCTTTACTCTATATAACAAACTGGACCATACTCTATATAACAAACAAATGTTTGGACTTGACGTGTAAAAACCCAATGGGCTTTCAGCCCATTGTCTTTCAGTAGTGAAACAAACAAAATCCACAGCATGGGTGCCATTCTGAGAATTATGGCGGGTAAAAGAATAATAAACAAAGATTCCATATTTCCATTCCGAGTCAATTTCTGATTTCTCTCGTTTTTTTGAAGATAAGATTTTGAAATATCTCAGGATTGCCTTTCCCTCTCCACCTTTAACAATCCATACGCCCAAAACCCTCCACTGTTACTCTCTAATTTTCAACTCAATCCTCCCTAAAACTCCAATCAATTCAGCAATTTCAATGTCGCCAGCTTTCACATGAGTTTTGCTGCGAGTATGACCACGCCGGCGTGTTTTCGCGGGAACATTGTTCCTGTATCGCAGTGCAGTTCATGTTGCGACATCCGATTCCAGCCTTTCATCTCTTCGTACATCAATCATGGCATCAGACGAAACATTTATCCTGTGAAATGCGTTTCCAGGTAAAAAAAATCGTTGCCTCTGTAATTTATCAAAACTGTTTTTACATCGTTTAAGATCTCCTAAGGCCACTGCCACCGCTGTTTTAGTGCAATAATTTGTGAAGTTATGTATGAATTTTTTTTTGGAAATATAATGTTGTGATCTGCCTTTAGGTTAGTGGTTAGTGGCAATCGAGTGGTAAAATGCAGAGCGAGTGAAACGGAGACTGGACCTGATGACGATGATGATAAAGTGATGCATCTATTGCTTTCTTTCAGTTTACTTTTTTGGTGTGTCTGAACTCTGAATAGGCGAAAACCCATATTTTGGTTACTGTGATTATAAGGCATTAGCAGCTTGGGTTGTGGTGGTATGTTTTCTTTAACAATGGCCAAACACAGGTTTTGCACATTTGCATGACAATCATCATTTTCTATTCATAATTGAATTGGTTTTAACGACATTGTTAAGAAAATATGAACACCACAGATGCCAATGACCCATTTGTTAAAGCCAGAAAACCACATTAACCAAATTTGCGTTTTCCTATGTCGTATGTGAAAGCAATTTTGTTCATTCACAGTATATCTGGTTACAATCTTGAATTTGTTTAACATATTCTCTAGGAAAAAGAAGCGCATGAAGCTGCTGAAACTGCAGAACCATCGATATCGAGTGGTTCAGATATTGGGGATGATAAAGAAAAAGTAAACATGTTGATCGCTATAATCATCTTTTGTATATGAGCGTAAGATTCTTGATTTTAGAAGCAACTGATAAGCTTTTTTGTTAGGATAAGGGCCAACCTAGTCAGTTGGAAGCACTTAACAAGTTCCTGGATAGTAACAAGGCCCAAGGACTTACCGAGGTGTTTTCCTGTTTTAAGTGTTTTGTGTGTGAATATGTAGTTGTTATGTTGGGGTTTCTAATAAAAAGTTGTTGTTGTTAGGATAAAGGCCAACCTACTCAGTTGGATATGCTTAACAAGTTACTAAACAAAGATGATGTTGAAGCTAAACCCAAGGAAGTGACTGAGGTATTTCCCTTTTCAAAGTGTTGATTTATTGGATTTGAAGAAAACATTGTATTATTATCAATGGAGAACTTTAAATATATAGTACGACAAATAGTCATATAAGACGATTTTGATTGATTGACATGTGTTATTATTTGAACAAGGGTCAGCTTGCTCAATTGGAGTCACTCAACAATACACTAAATACCAATGATACTGAATCTAAGACCAAAGGACTTTCCGAGGTACTTTTTTTTTTTTTTTTTAATCATTTTAATGATGTTTTACAAAAACTCAACAATTCTTAATTTCTTGTGCTATTAACCTTTTTTCAAAATAGGATGCTGATAAAATAGAGGTTACAAGTGGATCACCCCTGCCAGGTGTCAAGGTGAATATTTTTCATTCATTTAACCTCCTTTCCACTTTTACACATATATATCATTCTGTTCTCTCTTTTAACTTGTTATAATTCTTAACAGCCACAACAACTTGATGAATTATTCATGATTCCAAAAGAAACAATCGACATTTTGAAAGACCAAGTCTTTGGATTCGACACTTTCTTTGTGACAAGCCAGGAGCCATATGAGGTGATTAAATAATATATATATATATATATATATATATATATATATATATATATATATATATATATATACTTATATTTTATTATCATAAAATATTTTTTGAAAAAAATATGTCACAATCATTTTAATGTGACAGGCTGGAGTACTGTTCAAAGGAAACCTACGTGGACAAGCTGCTGTGACTTACAAAAAGATAGAAAAAAGACTACATGTTAGTTTAGTTTACCCACAACACAAATCATCATTTTTTTTTTATATAAATTGGTTAAAAATGTAAAATATACTCTTTGTGAAGGAGACATTTGGAGATCAATATAAGCTTTTCCTTCTGATCAACCCTGAAGACGATAAACCTGTTGCAGTTGTTGTTCCAAGAAAGACCTTACAACCTGAAACAACTGGTATTATTAGTTTCACATTGTACTTCCTTTTTTTCCTTATTACAACATTGTACTTTCAATTGTTTTCTTATGGAACATTGTAATTTAATAAATTTATCCTTTATATATAACAAATAATTTGAATAAGTAAAATGTTATAAGAAAATACAATGATATAATAACGAAAAACTAGAAACTACCTTGCTACTTGTTGCATTTATCCGTTTTTGCTAGTGCTTACTTTCTACATTATCCCCCTGTGATATTTGTGTTTGTTTTTTCATGACAGCTGTCCCAGAATGGTTTGCTGCTGGATCTTTTGGAATAGTTACAATATTCACATTACTTTTACGCAACGTCCCCGCTTTACAATCCAACTTATTGTATGTAAATCTATAAATACAAAGTTAACTTTGTTTGTTTGTTTGTTTTTTTTTATACATGACCATAATAATGTGACAGATCCGTTTTTGACAATACGGAAGTATTAAAAGAGGGGGTTTCTGGAGCCCTAGTAACCGCACTTATTTTGGGCGTACATGAAATCAGTCACATTTTGGTTGCAAAAGAAGCAGGAGTTAAACTCGGGGTTCCATTTTTTGTACCCAGTTGGCAAGTGAGATTTTTTAATTAGTTTGTAATTAAGGACACACACATAGGTATAGGTATATATAATATATCTAACAGTCTTTAAATTTTGGTGGCAGATAGGCTCATTTGGTGGGATAACACGGATTCTAAACATCGTACCAAAACGGGAAGATCTTCTGAAAATTGCAGCAGCAGGACCTTTAGCAGGGTTTTCATTAGGGTTGCTTCTTTTGCTGTTTGGGTTTTTCTTGCCACCAGCTGATGGTATCGGGGTAATTGTTGATGCTTCTGTATTTCACGAATCGCTTCTTGCTGGTGGAATAGGTATGAATTATTATAATGAATTCAGAGTATAGGAGAAAACATATAGTAAATAATAAAATGCTGTTGTATGTTTTTATAATAGCGAAATTGGTGCTTGGTGATGTTTTGAAAGAAGGAGCGACGATAGCGGTGAATCCGTTGGTGATATGGGCGTGGGCCGGACTTCTCATCAATGCAATCAACAGTATCCCCGCCGGAGAGCTAGACGGTGGTCGGATATCTTTTGCAATATGGGGACGAAAGGTTTGTTTTCTATTGTAAAAAAAATTTCTTACGATTTTAGTTTTTTTTAGCATTTTCGTTCTTTATATTGAAGAAACCTAATAATTTTGGTCCAAGGTCAAAATAAAATTGTTATTATTATCTAAACTTTTACAAATATAGGGCCGCCCATATGTTATTTTCGAGCATGCAAAAAAAAGTTATTTGGATCATAATTGAAAAAGTAGTAAAACTCAGGGACCAAAAATGTAACGTACTTTTTTCCTTTGACCTTAAATAGGAGAACTTATTATGATTTTTTTTTTGTTGGCAGGCTGCATCGAGGTTCACAGCTGCTTCTATTGTGCTATTGGGGCTATCTTCGTTGTTAGATGACGTGGCATTTTATTGGGTGGTTTTGATATTTTTCTTACAACGAGGGCCAATTGCTCCACTAGCTGAAGAAATCAGCGAACCTGATAACAAGTACGTTGCATTGGGAATCACGGTTTTAGTTTTGAGTCTACTTGTTTGTTTGCCTTACCCTTTTCCTTTCACTGAAGCAATTACTACAAGTATGTAGACGTCTGTTTTAGTGGGTGAGGTATTAAATATTACTAATAAACATCAATACATGACCTCTTTAGTGTAGCGAGTGGAATAATAAAGATCCATATGTATATGCACATGTACATGTCATTCTTTTCATTTTCATAATTTTCACATGGGGACATGTCTATACTATTCTTGGAAAGTAGGAGCTGAAAAAAAAAAATCCGAACTCATTATACCGGTTCTTTAATTGTTAAATGTTAACTTAAAACTTTAATGGTTTGCTTGTTTAAAATGTCAAATATTGACATTTGACACGAACATAAACTAAATTGGTAATTTAATGTTAAATATTGACATTTGACATGAACATAAACTAAATTAGGAATTTAAAAGGATACCTATTCACCATATTAATATTTAGAGTGAGTTAGACTAGAACACTCTAATAGTTTTATTGTTTTGTCAAGTCAGTTTTTAGTAACTTTATTTAATAAAAAGTTAATATAAAAAATCTTTTCTATTTATTGACTTTTTTTTTTTTTTCAATTTAACTATGTTATCCCATCTTTATGATATATATTATAAAGCCTCTCATATAATTTATTATTATTTTTTGCACATCCATGTTTGTAGAAAGAAATATAACTTGAAAGTAGCATTTAATAAAAACTAGTTGTTTGTCGGCCGTGAGTTGTAGCGATGCCAATTCGTTTTGTAAATTGAATTTTGATGGTTGTATTGATAAAATGTAGTTATTGTTGCATTTGCTGATTGTGCAACTTGCATTTACAAAATATAGGTTTTTAAAGTAAAAAACATAAAAATAAAATTGGTGGGTTGGAAATAGCAAAGGAAAGTACAGATAAAAATGAAAAAAAAAGGGCTCAAAATAACAAAGAAAAATACAACTGATATTGCAAATTAATATATAGTTAATAAATATGTTAAAAGTCAAAACTAGAATAAATTAATATATAGTTAATAAATATGTTAAAAGTCAAAATTAGAATAAGATGTCCTAAATCTAGAGTCCATATTCAATATTGTTATAAAAATAAAAGTATTATATGCATGATTCCTTTTGAACAACTAGTTAGCGGTTAAAAGTTAACATCACTAAATTAGAAAAATTTATCAACCTCTCGGATTAAAATTTGAGACCTTCATTATAAGAGGCAAAGTCTCTACCAAGTAGGCTAATCTCATATTGGCACTATATGTATGATTATAAAAATAATATATATAATATTATAATAGTTAAACTAGATTATGACTCGCGTTAAACGCAAGGAAAATAAATTAAATACATATCACATTAATATGTGGTTTTATCTTAGGTGGATTTTTAATAAAAAAAAATGTTACTTAGATTCATTTTTAGAGTTTTTGAACCAAACTTATTAAATAAAATTATTTAATATTTATATTAGAGAAATTTGGTTTTTTAATACAACAATTTTTAACACAAATAATCTACGTGATCTTTGTTTTATCACAACATAATGTGACTTCTTGATTAAAACATGTTGTGTAGTAGCTTTATGAATTAGTTTTGTTCGGTGTACCAACCCACATGGAGGCTCATATGACTCTTTTCATATTGGTCATGTAAAACCAAAAGTAACGATAAGTTGTTACATGTACCAACAACGTTAGATTCTACAAAGAAATTCGATAAACATTACAAATAAAGTGAATTGCCATTGCCATAAACATCAAATTCAGAAATTGTAATTTGGTCAATTTCTAAAGTATTTTTTCTTTATAAAAATAAAAATATGATTTTTCAGGCTACATCCAATCACATATACATGTCTTCCGATCAAAGAAACTATTACAAAAAAAAAAAAAAAAACATGTTGTGAACAAAAATATAATATTAGTTGCATAATTTGCTAAAGGTTAACACTAATAAATAATAATGAACTTTCATGTAGTACATAAAAATATGTTATTTGATCAACTGAAATATAAAAAACGAAATTTAATAAATGTAATGTTTGTAGTATTTTTCGTAAAAGAATGTTATCTGTTCGATGTAAAAAAGAAAATTACAATTCAATAATGATTGTATTATCAACATTGAAGTTTGAGATTGCATAACCATCAACTTTGTTCTTCAAATTATAATGTGAAATTTGAATTTTGAACGCCAACTTTTTATCCAAAAGTAAATTCAAAGCAGATGGATAAATTTTCATATTAGCTTCTTAAAAATTTTTAAAAAAATTGAACGGTTATAAAAATAGATCGATAAAAAGTAAAAATTAGTTTTATGTAAATGAAGTTAATATCGATAACCACATTAAACTTTTGAAACAACTCTTATGCGGGTTTTTCCAGAAGTTTCTTTGCGTCCCGATCAAATAACGTAAGTGATATCACACCGGAAAAGTTTTGTACTCTAATGGTGATTTTGAAACTAAAATCACTGATATAAACAAATTCAATAATATAAAATTAAAAAATTTAACCGAAGATTATATAATATGTATAAAAGAGTTATTGAAAACCTTGGAACAACATATATGTCTTTGTCCATGCAAGTTGAAGTGTAATAATAAAAAAGTTCTTTATCTTGCTTTTGGTCCATTCCACCATTTTTTCCATCATGCATTAAAACGACTTTTATGACTTTCTTTTGACAAACATAGGTCACCACATTAAAAAAATCGATTTAAAGGATATAATTTTGTTTCTATAACTAAATGAATGAAACTAATGTGCTTAAAGTAGATTGATTAATTTTTTATGACCTCTCAACAAGAACACAGTAATAACATGTAATAAGAACATAGTAAATGCAATAAATTGGAGAAGAATAAGGAGAACAGAGTAAAGAAAGAACCTGAAAAATAATTAGAGAAAAAGATCGTTGAAGAAGAACATTGTAAATCGTAGGACTCAATCCAAAATCGTAAGAATAACAACTTCAATGTAATCGTATATATGGGGTATTTTTGAATAAGGAAATCACTATCTTCTAAAAAAATTAGGATCCTAAGATATCATCTTGGAGATTTTCGACTATTCATCTAAAAAAAAAAAAGATATAAGTTATATTAATTCAAATTTTCAAATTAATTAACTTGCTTATTTAATGAGTTTTAAAATTCAAACCATTATCTCAAATTGATTCATTTTATGTGAGATATACTCGGAGATAAATTATAAATAATATTACATTTAATTTTGACTCTCAAATATTTTACTGATTTAATAGGATTAGATTAGATTTTATAGGTTAATAACTGAATTATTGATATGCTTATTTAATGAGTTTTTTCCGCAAAAAAAAATTAAAAAAAAAACGGGTTTGAATTTTGAAACCAAAAGGCAAAAGCTATAAATAAGGGAGTTAAATTAGGAACAATATTAAATCGAGAAACTGATATCATGTATATAAATAAAATGATATGTTTTAATTGAGAAAATAATTGTTGAATTTAAAGATTCTATAATTATTAAAGATTCTATAATTAAATGTAATTGTGTTTGAATTCTATTTAGAGAAGATGATGTCAGTAATTTGATCTAAAGGTGGAAAACATAGGATTGAAACACAATTAGTGGCCCTGATTGTTTCATTGGTGAATTAAAGTTTCTCTTTTAATAATATTTAAAAATAATTAATTTATAATATTGAATATTAAAATAAAAAAAATTAACTACGAAAAAATAATAAACATTTGAAGGGCCAGAGAGTAAAAATGCAATATTTTTGAATAAAATAGTTAAATATATAAAATTCAAAATTCAGAAAGAAAAAAAAATCTAGTGGTTGATAGTATTGACCAACAAAACTATCATCTCTAAAAGGAAAAAGATTCTATAATTTTTGATGTCTCAAAGAAAATCAAAAAGCTCTAATAACAAGCATAGAAACCTTCGTACATCTTCTGAACATTAATGACCTAAAAGCCATGTATGGTTGAGAAGCACGGACAATGATCAAGATATTAAAAAGCACACATGATCAAGACATTAAAAAACACACATACAATATGATTATTATGTATAATTGTCATTGGATAAGATGCAGCAATTATTTGATTTAACATGTCGGTTCTAAAATTTTTTTGGGCTATGAGGAAAATATAATCTTTTTTTAAATAAATAAATAAATAAAAATTCCTTTAAGTTGACAAACCATAACACTTCATTGGTGGCTCCTCCATATTTCGAAATTCTTTGACAACTACAACACTTTATTGGTGACTCCATGTTTTGAAATTCTTTGCTATTTGTGTAAGTACGTATAATAAATAGAGATGTCGATGGTGTTGAAAATATATCTATGCCCATATCCCATCCTCATATGTTGTTAGAATATAAATGCATCTCGATTTCCGTTCTTCATTGGGAATGAGATCCACAACACGAAAGTATGAACATTTTTATTAGGCTAAAAGATATGGCGACTAATAGATACAACATAGATAAAAACTTATAAAATTACAGATAGAATCTAAATTATCCATTGTTTTCAAGTTTACATGCATCTTTTGAAACAAAGAAAACAGTGTATAATCAAATGTGTGATTAACATCATCAGTTATTCGATTATAGTTATAAAAACGATTGTACGTTTACGTGTACATATACACATAAGCAATTACAAATATCAATGTATTAAAGTTGACAACGGTTATTTTTCCATTAAGGAGTACAAAAAATCCATATTTTACATGAGTAATGACTAATGAGTATTGTGGAGATGAGATCCAAAGTTTTAGGCTTGATGACGATCTTCAAGTTGATCGAGGCTTTAGTACACTCCAAACTTCATATCACTTGTAACGTCCCATTTTCACAACAAAATTTTTCATTTTTAATGGAGGTAAAACACCATTTTCATAAAAACCAATGTTAAGAAAACTCATTTGTTCAAAATACAATTATATGAAAATCAAAGTAATATAATAAATTTGGAACTCTAATGCTGCTGACGAGTGTGTACAGTCACGTCTTCGCCTTCCCACAATCATCGGAAGTACCAGAAAAATATTTAATCCACAATTGTAAGCCAAAGTTTAGTGAACTACCCAAAATACCACAAACCACAACATACATACAAGCATACATACAATGACCTTCAGTCCAATACTGGTCCATCTCACTCACCTTCAGCATACAGTTGGTCTGCACCTGGCCTTCAGCACACTGTTGC